GGTGGTACTGATACTAACTTTTTGCCTGTTTCCGAAATGCCGATATTGTCCAAACACCTAATTTTATCGATATAGGCCTGGCAATGTTTATTTATGTATCTGGACAAACCACTGTACGAGTTGCTGGCACCAGATTAATAAAATAGATTAATAAAATAAAAGCTGCAATGCAATGCCATCTAGTGACTTTCACTTTCATATACAGCTGTTTTTCCCCAAAACAGTTTTTAGTGCACACATCATTTGGCGAAACCCAGGCATTGCGTTATCGGGTTTCTATTATCAGAGGAAAAACCGATAATCATTCTTACAGATATTACATAATTATGCTAATATTGGGCCCAAAAAACATCAGCATTATTGGACATCACTAGTATTTTATTTAATTATACTGGGGTTTTTTTTTACACCTAAAGTAACTGCTGACACTGTGTTCTGCACCTTAAACAACAGAGAGATCAATGCGCCGTACCTTTGAGATCACAAATTGATCACTGTGAAGGCTACTTTCTCAATGTGTTAAAGATGAAGAAATGTCTTATTTAAAAAAAAAAAAAAAAAAAAAAAGTCTGTCTTTCTATACAGTGACTGCTGTTCGTCATTAGCGTTCAGAAAGCTGGGAGAAAGAAGCCTGAGGGAGAGAAGAGAGAGAAGAGGAGAGATGTCAGTAAGAAAAGTCATTTGCAGGACCAGCTCAGTGAGCGTGTGAGGCTGGAACGGGGGAAAAAGCTGAAGATGTGCTACACTCCACAAATCTTCTCACTTCAGACTCTCAGGGCAGTTATAAGACATCAAAAATCAAATTAGTTACAGCCGTCAGCTTTGTTTCGGGGAAAGTAATACATTTGAAGATATTAAGCGAGTCAGACATCTTAAATTGTAAAATATTTGCTGCTTTTCGCCGTCTTTTCGCTCACATTAATTGTATCTAGTGACGAGAAAGAAGAATAAAAGAAAAGGAGGATTTGAAACGGCATTGGTTAAAATTTAACACCGAGTCAAAAAAAAAAAAAAAAAAAAAAAACGGAGGACGAAGGTTTAAGGGCGTTCTGCTCACTTCAGTTCTGTGGTCTGAAATATGTATGACTCGTTTCCAGACTCAGTAACGATCTGGAACATTCACAAAAAGATCAAAGAAGACTTTTAAAATTGGATGGATGGATGGATGGATGGATGGAGAGACAGAGAGGATAGATAGATGGATGGAGAGATGGATGGATGGATGGATGGATGGATGGATGGATGGATTGATAGAGTACAGCGGAACAGACACGGTTACAGGCGTCCATTACTGTAGTGTAAAAGTACATACATTTAAAGTAGTAAAATGTTTAGCACATACATTTGCCTTCTACCATTTTCTAGTAAAGTAACTTCGCTAACACTGTGGTAGCATCATAATCTAGCACATAAAAACATCAGAAGAGTCTGACTTATGCCTGTAAGCCATGATGAAGGGCAAAAAGGTTCCCAAACGAACAACAACAAAAAAAACATAAGAAAGTGAATGTAGCACAATCCGATGTTTGGAGCTGGGTGATAACGTAGTCGCCTACCCCGGTGTCCAACTAGTTCCTGTGTGAAATTTGTTTTAACCCCGTACATCGGAATGAAGGAACAAGTTCGTAAACCGAGGTCCCCGTATTGAGTATCCCAAGATACTCAAGATACTTTCATGTACATTTGCCCAGAATTAGACTAGTTTCTGACTACCCCAGAAGCCGAATGTATCGTTTCCTTTTTCTCCACTGAAAACCGAGTTTTTTTTCTCCACCGAATTCCCTCCCTCTTCTTAAATTTGTAGTTTTCTGTTGTGTTTCACATATAATTATGTCATTCTGGGGTGACGTTTTACACTTAGGTTCCAATTTTAATCTCCCTCATCTTTATTATTACCAGTAGCTGTAGTAACAGGAGCGGTCTCACCTTCCATTTTTCTGCTGGGTTAAAACAGCAGGAAAGAGAAAAATCGATCTTGGCTGTGAAAATGTTTTTGGAACAGACTTTTGCAAGGAAAAAAAAAAAAAAAGGGACAAGATTGTTAAATCATAGAAATCGTCATAAAATTGTCCTCGGTGTAGTTCGCGTTGGGTCACACAGGCACACTCGCCATTTCCCACAAACAGCTACGCCACCTGCTGTATTTAACACTGCCTTCTAGTTTTTTTTCGGGGTTTTTTTTTTGTTTTTTTTTATCAGTCTAAAAAATGGTCCTGGGTGTCTTAGTGAAATTGAGTGTTTTTTTCTTATACCGAGATACTGCAGATTTTCATCGCACACGTGTACAATGACACTCGAGGTTCCAGCAGAGAAAATTAATTGGCATATTGCAACCGATTGGTTATTTTTAATTCTTTCGTTTGGTAGCAGATATCAGTTCTGTGGAAATTCCACTGTTAAACATATAAATAAATAGTTTCGAGATAAACTTGGAGAGTTTCGAAGCTGTGAATTCCTGTTACACTCCATGCATTCTATTTCAAACGCAGCCAATGTATTTATTAGATTGGAATCTGTACAGTGTATAGAATTCAATCAGGAAACATTGGAACCATTTGTCCGACTCTGTGTTGATGTAGTTTAATGCCTGTCGGAAATTACACTATCTCCTAAGGACCAGTCGGCCGGTATCAGCTGTTACTGCGGACCGGTAACAACGCGCCATTGTCAAAGGACCATTACATTTTCAAAATAAAGCATCTTTCAGACTATATTTTTCAGTATCAGAGTCTGAATGACCTGTTGTTTTGAAACATTGACAGGGAAATGAATTTGAATTAAGTGAATTTGTAAAACTGAAGTACATCTTTTCCACTGTGTCCCGATACTAAATGACCTACGGACTGGCATCGGACCCCGCACCTGGGATTGGGAACCACTGGTTTAGATGAAATGTTGATCTGAATGTGTTTCTTTTGACATAATTAAGGTTCTTTTCTCAGTCAATTGTCCTAAGTCGCTGTCTACAGTAAATGTGACATGTCCTATACGTCTTTTATGTATAACCTTACTTCTAAGAACAGCCTTTATGTGTATTTTCCATAGAATGGTTTGATAACAAAACTGGTTACAAGAGGAAAATACGTATATGTACTAAGACTTAGCAACAGGTTGGCACAATGTTGCTAAGCATTAGTATTTTTTTTTTTAAAACGTATTTACTATTTCGATGATCATGATGTTGATATTTTACACTGCCAAAGGCGATTTGTGCAAATGCGTTAAGGAAATTAAATATTAACCTTAACAATTAGGCGTTTGGCGTTTCTTTGTGTTTGTCTCAACGTTTAAAGAACGCTTCCGAAATTGTAATGTGTTTTCATTTGAGTTCCTAGTCAGGCAAGTGTAATGGGGGGAAAAAAAAAAAAATTCAAGTAGGTTAATTTAACCCAATGACATCTTTAATTACATAATGCAAACCAGCGCCATTTTAATTAAATAATGAAAACCAGCGCCATTTTAATTAAATAATGCAAATGCGATGTTTTGCTCCGTAATAGAATAATGGATCATTTTTTTTCTCTGTGTGTTTAATGAAATTACGGTAGCAAAAGCATCATTTGTTTGATGAGCTAATGCTGACCGAATAGAGGAGATCCTCCTGGTGATAGCCGAGGATGACGACGACTGGGGGGAACCATTAGGGCTTAAATGAGTTTGTCTGTGTTTCTCCTCCCGTTGGCTTTATCTGGTAAATTTTCATTATCATATTTATTCTTCCTCGTACTTGAGTTCTGTCCCAAAACACTTTCGAGAAAATCGCACCCAAAAAAAAAAAAAAATACAGGAAAATAATAGGCCTTACTGGGAGAAAGTACTGTTTGAGAGAAAGGGAGAGGGAGAGACAAAACTGCCCTCAGGGTGAAGACCTCCATTCAAGGTCAAGAATTGAGGTCTCCACTTTGTGCGTGCGAGTGATGACGGGTTGGTGCGGCTCGGAGTGCATTCGAAAATACCATGTATCTGGGAAAAAGGAAAAAAAAAAAAACGACCTTTATTTGTAGTAACCTTTCGTTGCATTCAGTAACTAAAGTATTTCACCAAACAGAATAATATTGAACTCCCTTCTATCCTAGTTGTGTCAATGGTCTGTAGCCCAGCACTACACCCGACTCATATCAACACTACAACTTTACTACCTCGGTTGCAGTATTACATTTAAATACATATAAAAAAATTTAAAAATTAAATCAAATACATTTTAAGAAACACGCATTATAATTCATTCCATAATTCATCCTTGTTTTTTTTTTCACTTTTACTGAGTATTTGATCTGATTAGAATGATATACTAGTCTGTGAAAAAAAATATATTTATAAATATATATATATATATATATATTAATATATATTTATATATTTTTTTCAAACATACTTGAATCAGGGTTGTCAGTTGATTCAAAGTTTGATTCAGATTAATCACAAGGTGAACGTTGATTAATCACGGCTGTAACTTCTCATGATTAATCGACATTTTAAAAATCAAAGAATGTATATTGCTGTAACAGACAGACAAATGACAACAGGTAGACTGATGAGTTTGACATCTGGACAAACATTCGCTAAGTTCCGATCTTGTTTACATGTCCCGCCTCCCAAGCAGCAGTTGTTCTACTTATTGGCTCTCGCCCTTTACTGTTCCTCCTGTTTATTGGTGAATTCGTCGCTGATTCGCTGCCAGATTTACTGACGAACAATTAATAATTGTCACCCTGATTTACCGCGTAACTTCCTTCTTCGTCTTAGAAAGAAAGTCTGTTGGCTTGATTTGAAGAAAATCTGATTTAAAAAAAAAAAAAAACAACAATAAATGAAATTAGCGAAATTATTAGATATGCTATGTGCACATACATTAAAAATGTGATTAATCTTTGCAAATCAACAGATTGAATTGCAGTGATTTCTACGGCCATAATTTGTAGAATTTTCTCAACGTGCATTTCTGTTTCACTTACAGTTGCAAATGTAAATTTTTTTTTTCCCCGTCTGTTTCTGTTTAGGAGGAAAGTGATTCAAAGTTCTACTGTGAGCTGTGTGACAAACAGTATGTGAGACACCAACAGTTTGACAACCACATCAACTCCTATGACCATCACCACAAGCAGGTGAGTCACAACCTCGGACTCTTGACCAAGGTCACTGCTGAGTCGTGTATAACTTACGAGGCCCAACACACGGCGGTGATCAAAAATCAAGCAGACGCGGGTGACACTTGGAAATGCAGAGCACTGCAGATTCCTGGAGGTCAACTGTTTCTTATGAAGCAGATGGGTCGTCGATGGAGTAGGCGGTGCACGGCTTCAATTATTTTATGAACCAAAGACAAAGTAGTTGCGATTTTCTACGATTGTTTTAATTGTGAAAACATTTTTTTTTTTTTCAAAAACGTATGTAAACTTATACTGAACGTCCACGTTTTATGGGGTCATCAGCCTGCGCCGTTTCGTTGTTACCTCGCCATCTCCGACAAATGTATTAAGAAAGACATTTTCATCATTCCGACGTACCGCCTTAAAAAAAAAAACGCACAGGATCTAGTTACAAAGAACGTCTTTGTTTTCGTTCACCGGTTATGCTACATTCACTATCCTTTGTTGCGTTCTTTTTTTCCACCTTCATCATGGCTCCCAAGTATGTACTCATGTACAGTATGCGAGTTCCAACTCATGCCGAAAATTGAGTAACGTTGCAGTTGTGTGCAGGTCTTTTACTGTACAGCAGGGGTCACTAAATATATTTATATAATTGTTCTGGACAGAATCCTTGGGGGCCATACACAAAAATCAAAAAGTCATGTTTTGTCTAATTTGTGTTATTATTTAATGTTTATTTTGGAATGGGCCAGATTAAACATTTTAGTGGGCTGGACACCACAGGCCGCAAGTTGACGATCAATTTGAGTAGACTGAGCATTGTCTTGAATTTTGTGTAATTCAAATAAGTAAAAATATTAAATAAAATTTAACATATTCTTTTGGACTCATCACGATTTCCTATAAAATCCAAACTAATAAAATAAATAAATACAAGAGCAAATATCAATTTTAAAGATTTTTCTGTTTGTTCAGTGTTTTGTCTTTTAGGAATTTGCAGTTACTTTGACGCAAAATAATTGCAATACATTCCCGGGCCATTTACCTTATGCATACTTTAGTTTTTGAGGGAATTTAAGGGGGTCTAAATACTTTCCGTACCCACTGTATATTTAATGAAATATAATTTGACAAAACATCATCCACATAAAGTGTTTTGTGCAGTTTACACTTTCAAAATGTATCAAGCTGGGGCCAGATTGAACCCACAAGCGCTCTGTTTCCCAAAGACTGGGTCGCTGGGGCCAGATTGAACCCACGAGCGCTCTGTTTCCCAAAGACTGGGTCGCTACCCTCGGGGGTTTTTTTTGGGGGGTCATCTCGCATCATGTTTCCCAGGAGGTTACGAATAACGTCTATTAACTTGGGTCGCGAAGGGTTTGTGACTTTTTAAAATACGGGTCCCCAGAAAAAAACGTTTGGGAAACACTGCCCTGGCGGACTAGTTTTGGCCCACGGGCCATATGTTGGACAGTTCAGAATAAACACCGTATCACTATCTAATGTAGTAAAGAAGGTAAACACAGAAACGTTATTAAAAAAAACAAGCAAAAATAGTGTGTGTTTACGTCTTCATTTTTCACACTAGTGTCTGGAAGAATCAAACAGCCAGCTGGCGCTCGTTCGCTCTCCTCACTTACACCAAGGATGCTGAAGATATTACACCAGCCCTTAAATCAGTCCACTGGTTGCGTGTCAAAAGGATGGACTCTGAAATCATATTACCTGTCGGTACAGCACTTAAACGCCTCAGGCTTTAATACAACCCTAATCCACTTGTGTGTTATAATGCTTTAAAATGCCTCGGGTCATCTGTTTAAAACATGTTCTCGGAATCAATAGTCATTTAAAGAAACCCGGCATCTAATTTTGATGTACCTCACATGTGTAGCTATAAAACTGGACACACTGTACAGTACATTAATAATGCAGGAACAAGACCGCCGACATCCTGCCAGGGTGTAGGCTCAATTAATTCCACTTCCTACCTTCTGCAGAAACATTGTTTTCTCAAGCTGGACATGTACATAACTGGTGGATAATAGAGAGAGAAAAAAAAAATGACAAAAGGTTTGGATTTTAGTGACATAACGGCTGGCACGAGAATCCAGAATGTGAATCTGGGTAACGTGGGCAAACAAGTGCGTAACAGTCGTGTCCTAAAATGAAGCCAACTGTTTGGGAATTTTTTTTTTTTTTTTCTGTGCAGCAGTCCGATCGGCCAGTATCACCAGTAATACTGCGCCATGGTTGAAGGTTGTTTTGACACATTGCCAGATTATCTTTTAATGGGAAAAAATTAGAAGAGATATGACTGGATTCTTTTGTAATGAAATAACTTAGTAAAACTGAAGTACATTTTTGTCACTGTCCCCCACTGCGACCCGATACCAAATGACCTACGGACCTATGGACTCATCAGACGAGCTTCTAAACAGCATTATCAACAGACACGTCAAAACATTACGCCACCTGTCTGTGCCACAGATGTTTTTTTTTAAATCAACGGCAGTCGATGTTTTTTTTTTATATACTGTTGTCGTCATAAATTAATACCAACGTATCGTAAATGTATCTCTGCTACAAGAGGCAGTTTTCTTTTTACAGCCAGTACATTTGATTTGTTTTCTATATTAGAACAGCTGCGAAACCCAGAACCACCTGTACAATACGTAACAGTGATTTACTGTAATATCATCAGCAAAGAAACAATTAAATTTGCTACATGGAAGGAGCGTCCTCTCCGGTGTTTGTGCCCAAGGGTCTGTAGATTCATCATCAGACAATGTACTTGATCATAGCAGTATTTTCAACCGTTTATATATTTTACCAGACCATATTTTACATATTTAAAAATAAATTTGTTACTGTTACTAATTTTAGTAAACACCAGAATTAAAGTTACTTGGCTAAGTCAATTAAAGCCTTAAAATAAAGCTGTTTTGTAAGGCGGACAATATGGTTCCTCGACGTCTTGAAACTTAAAAGAAACGAAAAGATTGAGCACAGCAGGATTCTTAACACACACACACTTTACCCTGTGAGCTCTGCCAACCTTTTCCTGGAGTGGTTTTTTGTGTGTGTGTGTATGTGTGTGCATGTGTGGTAAGTGCGTGTCGTCCAACAGCCATGGTAATCCAGGAGGGCAGTTTAACGCCTCATTTTAATCTTTTGATCGAATACGAAAAGAAAAGGACCAAGTTCTCTTCCCTGTGGCACCCCCTAAACACCCCTACAATATACAAACTCTCTAAATACTATGGTTTGCTGTTTTATCATATAATTATCCTCTTGGCTCGAGACCTTTTCTTGTGTTCTGCTGCTCCTCTCTCATTGAAAAAATATAGCATAAAACCTGCTGTAACTTAGCACGCTTACAGTCACGCTAAATTGTCGCTCAGTCAAATCAGTGAACTGCGTAAATATTCATTTTAACCCAGACCTATGTTTCACCGTAACCTCCCCTTTATAATACTACAATACCCTTATAACAGCCCTTAACACAGGTGGCGGCTCACCGGTGCCGAATCTCGTTGTACTTTCTGTGTAAAGTGCGGTGAAACTCTGATACATCACGAAGCAATATATGAATAATTAATTCCTCTTTACTTACTGATTTATTCCTAAAGTAGGGTTGTCCACCCAGAGGGTCCATGTTTGGACCTTGTTACTTGCTAATGTGTCCTCAGGCAAGATATTTAACCTCAAGTTACCTATCAAGCTACGTCCAAAAAAAAAAATCGAGAAAATTTGGAAAGCATCATCTGTTGGGTATCAGGCATGAGGGAGCTGTATAAATGTTATTGAGAGTAGCAGAAAGTATTATTTTTTTATGTAACGATTTTACACTGTTACTAACGCATTTCTGGTCTTGCAGCGACTGAAGGATCTGAAACAGAGGGAGTTTTACCGAGCGCTGGGCTGCAGAAGACAGAGGAAGCGCAGGGAGAAGAGAGTGGCGATTGTACAGAGGAGGCTCCAGCAACAAGAGGAAAGAAAGACAGAAGAGTGGTGGGTTAACTATATATATTTATATATATATGACAGAACCTTAACATCTGCGCCATTGTGATTCGGTAAAATTAACTGCGAGCCTGGAAAGATGCCGAAACCTTTCTACGTTTGAACAAAGCTTCCATGCAGCTGATATGAACTTGGCTTGTTGTAGCTAACAAAAAAAAAGCGTAATAGAGAGAGACCAAACAGAGATCGGAGATTTTATGAAAATTTATGTGAATGCAATGCTAGCACATGACTGTACAATTTAAGCTCTGAGCTTCATCTCCGAACCTGATGAAGCCTACGCAAGGAGAGGGCACGTAAGTCTAGCGCCTGGAGATACGTTCCAACATTAACGACCCCTAAATCAATGCATTCAGCTGAGATTATTAATGTGGGTTTTTCTTTGTTACAGCGTATGCCCACGCATGTTGGAAACGGCTTGATGTTCTGACTGATATGTTAGTTATATGGGAGTGAGATTGCAAACCAGTGCTCTGTTTAAACCAGGCAACCAATACAATGGCAGTCTAGTGTTTCTGACCAATCACCATTGCAGCTGGGTATAAAGTTGAGACTGAATTGGCGAAAAAACAGTGTGACTTCCGGTACACAGATGGGGAGAGGGAAGTGTGGCGAAATTGATTTTTCGGCTGGATTTCAGCTGCTTTTCCGTGTCTACTTTTTTTTTTCCTCCCCTTAACATTGGTTTACAGGTTACTGTTTTGTATGGATATATATTTTCTAATTTATTCTTATTGTCCTAATGATCACTTTCATCCTCCTAGTGCCCCTGGTTCTGGTCCTATGTTCCGATCCACTACTGTGGCCGTCAATCCAGTGAGTCAGACCAGACGGGAGAACAACTGGGTCGACATGTACAAAGGCAGCTCCGCGCTAGAGACAAGTGAGCCGTCTTTTTTTTTTTTCTTTTTCTTTTTTTTTTTTTTTTTTTAGCTCTGCAGCCAAGTAGTGAGCAGTTTTAATAGCTTATGAGTATGTGTTTATTTAGGTGACGAGGATATTACGCTCCACGTTGAGAGATTAAACAGGGCTGGTGTCCTGCAGTGACGGTGAAATATCATTATTGACGCTTGACTTCAAAGATAAAAAAAATGCTGAATAACGTTAGCGTAGGGAACTGCCAAAAAAAACAAAAACAAAAGAAAAATGACAACTGAAACGAAACTGTAAGATCACTAGATTAGAGCCGCAGCTCCAGTTTAGACGTCAACTTTAGGAAACACTGTCAAATAATTGTCTAGAATTGTCCTGACACTGAGTCAAGAGCTAAGATTTCGTTTTATACTTTTTGAGATGCACCACCATGGAGTCAGCTACAGCTTGACTTGGGCTCGAGGTTTAGCAATGTAAGTTAAAAACCCTTACAGTGTATGCTACATCAGGGGTGTCAAACATACGGCCTGCGGGCCAATACTGGCCCGTTTGGGGGTTCAACACAGTCTCAGGTGAAGAAAACAATTCATGTTAGCAATATTTTGTTAAATATTTCATTAAATATGCATTTTGTAATACATTAGATTACATGAATACATGTTCTAATATATTTGTATTTGTTGCATGAAAAAAAGGGGTAAAAACATAGACTTATTTTTATTTGTACGTAATTGACATCTAATTAGGTTGTATGGCTCCCCTGAACCAAATTTAGTTTGACACCCCTATGTTAGATCATTGACTTTTAAAGAAAAGTAAACAAGTTTGGCGAGGAAGTAGAGGAACATAGTGAAGACACACAAAGCTACTTAAAAAAAGAAACTGGGATCGGATGTTTTTTTTAGATGGGAGCAAAATGATGGGAACGGCTTGAAAGGGAGGATTTTCAATCATCTTTAAAAGGATTAGCATAAAGCTGCAAAGTCGGCATATATACCGTACCGCATGACTTGATAGTAGTGAGTTTAAGCTTTGTAAAAAAAAAAAAACATTATATATGCTTGTCATTAGAGTGAAAAAAAATGGATTTAGTTGACTTTGTTTACATGTCTACATTATGGCCATCAAGCTAACTGTGGTACGAGCTCTGATGCTCTGTGGAGCTGTACACCTACCCTACAGATGTATTCGCATCTGTAGTATAACAACAGCGTCCCTCTAATTTAGAAAACATATAACCTCAACCTCAATAACATAGCCATTAGCCGTAAAATGACCCCACCCACATTCTAATGGGACATAAGAAATGGGAAATAAGTTGCAAATACCAATCATTTAAATGATTTTACTTCTTTTATAACTTGAAGAATAACTTGGCTCGTCACTTCATCAGAGGTCGCCACAGCAATTGTCACCAATCTCAGCCCTTCGCCAATCTCATCCCTCTTTTTGTCATTTGTTAAAATGGAAGATTCATTCAATTCTGTTAAAAGGTCTTAACATTTATATATTTCTGCGGTGAGAAAGAAAGTGTTTTTGTTTTTCCCTTTCTAAAAACATTGAGATTCAGATATTCTTGAATCAACGGAATGTCACCGGTATTAGCTGCTTCAATAGCTTCTGCTCTCCCTTCCTTCCAGATTCTCAAATACCACTGATTGAGCCTTTTCTTCCCGTGGACCCTGCGCTAGACCCCGGACGTCTGAGCAACAGAGAGTTGATGTGTGAACAACTGGAAACCAAGGATGCAGCTACAACTGCTACAGTTAAACCCTGCATTATCAGGAGGACGCCTCTGGACTGCAGTGACCTTAAAAACACCACCGTTCTGCCACACTACACCATCACTACCAACGCCGGCATGGGCGCGGAAAAAACAAATGCTTTGAACGCCACAACAAGAAGACGTTTTAACAAGATCCCATGGGCTCATAACCACCGGCATGGGCGCGAAAAAAACAAATGCTTTGAACGACACAACAAGAAGACATTTTAACAAGATCCCATGGGCTCATAACCATTTAAATAGCTCCATTACTTCTAATGAGGTCTCTGCCAATGAAAATACTAATGGCTCTATTTTCAACAAAACCATGACTAGCTTTAGCGGTGAGACCGCTACGACCTCCACCCTCACCACCGACACTAATGCAACAATTAGCAGCATCAACATCAACCGGCTCCGTCCTGTGTCCTTCTCGCTGCCTAAGAGGAACTGCATCCTCCTCCACCAATCAGCCACAGTTTTCATCCAGGCTGGTCAGAGCTCCGGCTCGTCCGGGAAGTCCGAAAGATTGACGGGACACGTGAAAACCAAAGACTTGGGAGAAAAGGTAGAAAGTGAGCAGCCGAGGGCTGCGGACGTTACTGCTGGAGCCGTGGCTCTCTTGGACACTAGGATCCGGCAAAGCGTTGGCGCTAGTGTGTTCTCTGATAAGGTGACTGGACGGTTACCTGCCAATGAGATCTCAGATTCTCTATGTGTTGGCACTAACAATAAGAGTGGACCCGAAATCAAAACTGGAGACGGAGACTCTAACTTTAACAATGATGTTGAAAATCAGAACGCATTAGACAGCAACAAGGAACTAAAAGAAGTGATCAGTCCGGCCGTAAATCCCCCCAAAAAATATACTTGTGGCGTTTCGGCTGAAAGCACCGAGTCTTTAGTCCAAGTTCAGCCCCAGGAGTCCAGCTTCCTCTTGTCAAACTGTGCTAAAGACTCAAGTCTTTGCCCATTAAGTCGCCCCAAAGAGCCATTTTATCGTGTCCTCAGCCGCGACGGCAGCAAAGTCCACCTTTGGCCTTCTGAGATGATTAGCTACACCAAGGTGTCACCGTCCATATCTTACAGCGTCAACCCTCTCCTGTACGACTTCAAAGCGAACCACAGGACCAAAGAAAAGTGTGAGGATAAGAACGGCGAGCTGAAGGACTGCGGCAAAAGGCCGTTTGTGATCGAACAACTTACCTCCTTACGGAAGACAAAAGATAAGAAGGTGAATGTGGTTAAAACCGATGCAAGTGAGGAACAGCGTAAAGGAGGACAGACGGGGAGTTCTCTCGAAGTAAATCGGTGTAACAGCGCAGAGCTGTCTCCGTCTGGCTGTCATGATGCTTTAGACACTTTGAGTTGTGATCCCAGTCCTACTGAAAGCCGACTTGGATTTGCATTAGCCATTCAAAAGTCTGCGGGGAGGGGGAGGAAAAAGAAGAGGAGGCCAGGGGAGAGGAAAGGAATGAGAAAGAGGGGAAGAAGAAGAAGAAGAAGACGGAGAGGAGAGCCTGCCGATAAAAAAGACACAGTAAAAGGAAGGAGGGTAATGAGTAGTGTGTCTGTGAATGAGACGCTTGAAGATAGAGAAGAAAAAAGGTTGAGAGGAGACGGCGCTGAGAAAGGCGAGAATAAGGTAAAAGGGCTATTAAGCAATTTGGCAGCAAGTCAGCTGGTACGAGGGGAAGAAAAGAAGACAATCGACGAAGAAAAAAGGATAAGAGATGATCAGACGGAACGGGAGAGGGCAGGCAGAAAGGACGAGAAGACGGGAGAGCTATTAAGTAATCTTCCTGCGGATGGCTGTAATCGGTGTAACCAGCTGTGTCTGCAGGTGAGAAGGGAGACCAACCGGTATCAATCCCAGCAATCAGCCACTGGGTGGGAACATGGCCTCGGAAAGCTACTCTGCAGGGATGCTGCATGTGAATCTGTGATTAGACCTCTCCACGGTTCTGCAGTGGAAACACCACGCTGTCTTGCAATTACACCAAAACCTGCACACAATGACATAATGACAGACGAGACAGACGGGGGCAAACGGGCAGAAAAGAAGGAAAGATTGCTCGAGGAAGCGCGGCGGCATCTGGGAAAGACGGCGATAAGCCCCGCTCAGGATGCTAAAGAAAACGTGTGCAATCTTGAGATTAGCCACATTTTCGCCTGCCAGGACGAGGCACATGAACTAAGAAATTGTCCCCTTCCTGCGTCTCACGGGGGAATAGCGGGAGATCAGGGGATAAGTCCGATTCCTGCTCGCCTAAGAGAAACAGCAGATAGTCAAAGACAAGCCTCGCCGACAGGACATAGCAATCTCACGTTAGATCAAACCCCACGCTGGTCTGAACCGCAGACAGAGACGGAAGAAAGAATCAGACCCACCTGCGCAGACATAAACCTCTCCGGACATAGCCTTTCAAAGGACAGCAAGAGAAAGACGGAATCGCCAGAGGCTGAGGCAACACCGAGAAAGAGACGGAAAAGGGGGAGAAGACAAAGCAGAAGAGTTGTCGAGCAGACCGGGAGACTTTGTCACAAGCGTAACACGGTTGAGAGCGGTGAAGAGGAAAAACCTGCGGGCTGTCAACATCTCTGCAGGATATTACTCCACACAAATGATGACGAGAGAACATTGCAGAGTTGTTGCATCGCTGACGATAAGAGAAACTTCTGCTGCCGTGGTAAAGGCTGCACCGAGGCTGAGACGCGGAGACAGAGCCCGTCAGAGACGTCCGTCAGTGACTACTGTCTCTGTAACGATCAGAGCACATGTAATCCTGAGGAAACAAGTCCGCGGCCCGAGGACTACACCTTGGCCAATGAGGAACCTGTGGCCCCGGACGAGGACAAGGACACGTCAGCTGGTCCAGTCATGGACCGGTCAGCAAAAACACAGAACGAATCTGTGACGCTGCTGTCAGATGACTTTATCAGCCGCCCCACTGATGGAACACCGGCTGACCAATGTCAACTTGTGAATGAGCACAGCACAAATGAAACGCTGTCCTCTGCAGCTCAGGGTGAAGCTAGCGATACTGTGGACGACTGTTGTCCAGACGTGGACAGGCGTAACCTCGCATGCGATTACGGTCGTGTAAATGACAACGGTGGCTACAATAAAGAGGTTCAGAGCCGCCGCAGAGGAGACTCGTATGAGGGTCAGCATCTTTATCCCGAACGGAGTGAAGTCTGCGGGGGCAGCACTGTTGACGTTGGCGCCGGACAGCGGAACAGTTCCAACAGTCGTCCTGCCACTGACTGTAGCAACGACATTAGTACCAGAAAAGGCGTCAAAGATGTCTCACCCATCACTGTCCGCACTAATCAGAGGTGGGAGGTAAAATACGACAGTGAGGAGAAACTGACGGAGAGGATAAACGTGAAGCACTTTGCATGGGAAAAGGAGTGCGTTCGAAAAAAACAGAGGGACAATGAGGTGAAGAGGTGGAGGGAGAGGAGTAATAGAGACTTCAACCCCCACTTCCCAGACCAGAGTCCATGTTACCCCCATGACCACTCTCCTTCCCCGTGCATTCCATTCCAGGCACCTCTTCTCCTCCCCCACTCCTCCTCTTTCTCCTTTCATCACACAATCATCCAGCAGCACATCTCGCTGCTCCCACCGCCTCCCCCGACGCGTCTCCCCGTCCCGTCGTACCCTCAGCTCCTGCCTCACTTCTCTCCGAATCTGGTTCCCCTTACGCTAAATCCAACCCCGGCGCCTCCACCGCCGCCTCCACCACCTCTCCCCCCGGCCTTTTACACATCGTCCCACGTTTCCCTGCTGGACGCCCCCGCTTCGTACCCCATCGCTACGGTGTTTCACCCTATGCAGAGTCACCATCCGCCCCTCTATTCACCTCCACACACAGCCCTCGTATCCTTGCAAGTGTTGTTCTAACGGCATTTTTTTTTTTTCCCCTGATAGAAGAAAAGTAGGCACACATGAAAGGAGCACTATCCCCCCTCTCTTACTGAAGGAGCCGAGTAGAAGTAGCTTTAATGTGTCATTTCCTAAAAACCTGAAATTAGGATGAAAAAAGTAAGGTTAACGAGACCGAGGTAGGAAAACAAAAACCCGTCAATCTCACAGCCAAACCTCTGGCAACCTCATCAGCTCATCCAAACACTGCATGCTCTGATTCACACGTGTGAAAAAAATGATGGGCCAATTATCCTCATCAGTCACAGGATGTGCTCAGAATGAGGCTCAGGTGTAAAGGGAGCGTAGCAGGGACACACAGCTGGGTTCTATTTCTGCCAGAGAAATAATGCAGCTCCTGTTCTGCATTTCGAACAATTATTTGCTCGCAACGCCTGTTCAGAACTTTGTTTTTCCTTTCCTTTTCTTTTTTTTTTTTTAAATCCACCCTTGCATATTCTTGTACTTATTTCACCCTCAAAAATCAATTTTGGACTTTTTTTCATCTCAGCATGTTGTCATTTACAGTAGAGGTCCCCGACCTTTTTTGTACCAAGGAACGGTTGGCAGGTATCAGCCATTACTGCGGACGCCATTGTCAATGGAGCATTACATTTTTGAGATAAAACATCTTTTATTCTGTTAGCATCAGAGTCTGAATGATCTGTTGTTTTGAAACATTGACAGATTATCTTTGAATGAAAAAAAGTAAAGGGATATGACTGGATTATTAAATTAGTAAAACTGAAGTCAATTTTTTCATTGTGAACCACTGCGGTCCGGTACCAAATGATCTACGGACCAGCACCGGCCCCCAGACCAGGGCTTGGGGACCTCTGATTCACAGTACAACTAAAAGTCTGACCCTTTAAAATTAGGCAATATAGTTCCTTTGTAAAATGGGAAAAAGGATTCAAATTTTAATCCAAGGATAAAGTGAATACTATACTTACTCTTTGATGCATACCAAGATCAGACATCATGAATCTGATCATATTTCCATGTCAAAGACATCAATCTTCAAAAAAAATCTAATTTTTACATTTAGGAAGATGACCTTCTAACCCTGACAGTAAAAACAAAGACATTTCGACAAGTATCGAAAACTAAAACTGCAAACAAATCTTAAAAATCCGCTTTGTGATCTCTGAGTACACAAGTCATCACGCTCACGTTTGATCATTTAATATAAAAATGTTTCAATGAAATAAGACTTCAGAAATATTCCCATAAAAAGACTCCTCTCCTGCTTATCTGTATGATCTCAAGACCCAAATGTCCTAAACTCCTATCCTTCCAA